GTGCAGACACGCACAACTACATATAACACACACATTTTTCTGTCCACAGGCAGCCCGATCTCAGCCGCGTCAGTCCGCCACCGCAACAAGCCCCGTTGGTTTTGGCCGACGTCGTCACCAGAACCGCTACAAGCACACTACGTCATCTCCGTCATGAAGCTTCTCTGCCGGCGAGAGATCCCATGTCGACGGCGATTTCGGTTCATGAAGCTTCTCTGCCGGGAGGAAGAAACACGAATGATCTAGCCCGATCTCGTCGTCGGAGTTCATGAATCGTTTGACCCGCCGGAAGTTTCATGGACGAAGAAGAAGAATCGGGGGCTGTGGCTCGGGAGGCAACTGGACGACCGCGTCTGTGACGGCGACATGACCGGCGAGATGGTGGCGGGCGGAATCGGCGACGCCGACGATGGGCTGGGGGGTTGTGAGCTGTTATTATGGATGGGGCTTTCAAATAAAAATTTGATTAAATTCAGGGACTCATATGCAAATTCATAACTTTTAATATATTATAAATAGTAAGTTGAGGCAAATATGTAGTTTAATACATTCCCAATAATAATTAATGAAATATATATAAGGTGCAACTTAACATACATTAATGTGCAATTCATATATCAGTGTTGTGCAGTATTCCGGTCCATATTATGTAGTATACCATCTGATCTTATGTCCCAAACAATTTAAAACCGACAAGACTTAATTACTTTATTTGATTGATTACTCAAATAAACTATAATAACTGGATTAAAATATTATTTTTATTATAAAATTATATTTAGTATTTTAATATTATTATCTAACATTTATACCTTTTTCGGTTGAAAAATATTAAAAAATAATATTTTTATACGGGATGGTGGATTTGATTATTTCGATTATTTAAAAAAAAATAAAGCTTACGTCGTACCGAAATAACTAAAATTTAAACGACCAAAAAGATTAGTTTATCCGACTTATAAATTTCGAACTAAAAACTTAGTTCGATTATTTTTGGTCGGTATAGTGCAATTTAACAGTCACTAATGTGCAACCAATTTAACATTAATGTGCACTTGAACCAACAACAATCGAGTTCTTTAATGTAAAAAAAAAAAGAAACAAATTGGACTGAAATATAATATTCCGAATTGAAAAAAAATTGAACATAATCAATTTAATTGGTCGGTTGACATAAATAACCAACATAATCGGCATATTATTTTTTATAATTATATTTTTAATATTTTTTATTCAATAATTTATATTATTTGGCGATAAAAACATTAGTATGTATGTAAATGAAATATGTTGTGCAATCTAATAGTTATTAATGTGCAATTCGTCCAACACTATGGTGCACGGGATCCGTCTGTAGGTATTGTACAGTACAGACCGAACTAACCAAAATTTTGTCCCTATTAAATTTTAAAATGAGCATAATCATTTGGTTCGGTTTATCGAAATGTCTTAAATAATCGAAATAATTTGTAATCAATATTAAAAATTATATTCAATATGATAATAATTTTATTTAGTATTTTTTTACATTATGTTTTTGTTGAAAAAATGTTGAATTTGGTTGGTTCGATATCTATTGCGTAATCTGATAATCCTAATAAATTGCAACGCTTTGTATTGTAAAGTGCAACGTGTCATTTTATAAAGTGCAATGTATAGATATATCAAGTAGACTACATTCATTTTGATGTTTGCAATCCTTATGCTTTGTTTTGACAAATTATTCTATTAATGTTAAATTAATATTTATGCCCATTTTTTTATATTTATGTTGTGTGGTATTTTGGTCGGAACTGTTGAAGTTAACTGTAGAACGTGGCGATAAAGTGCAACACGAAATTTATAAAGTGCAATATGTTGTTTTGTAAATTGCAACGTGTTGATATATAAAGTGCATTACTTTGTCATATATAAATTAAGTGCTTTTTAACCATATTTAATATATGTAAATTAAGTGTTTTTATTGATTATCTTATATTACTTTATTGGTTGAATATACACAAAATAGATGTATAAAAAGTAATAAAAAAAAAAAACACTTGTTATATATTTTATCTAATTTACAAATTTGGCCCATAGTGAAAATTCATGAAATTACAATTAAATTCCTATAAATTATCCAATTCTAAAATAAAAGCCCAAATTTCTTAATATATCTCTCCCCCTGTTGCTTGGACAGGGTCGGCGGCAATTGATGGCGTAGCCACGGTCGGACAATCGCCGGGCTCCCTGCAGTCGGACAATTGTCGGCTTTTTTTTGTCGCTGTGCGTGCAGTCGAATTTTTCATCTCCGGCGGAGATTGTCGAGCGCCGACCGGGAATGTCGAGCAATCAGATTCACTGCCAACAAAGATGTTGAGCGCAGCGGACATTAATTTTCCGATGTTGAGTAACTCCAGCTTTTCAGGACGACAGCGTCGTTTTCCGTTCTTCCGGCGGCGGCGAGCAGTTTAGTGATGGCGGCAGTTTTATGTGTTGTTTTGTGTCTGTGTGTTAGATGTGTGTGTGTGTGTGTGTGTATGTGTGTGTGTGATAGAAAGAGACGGGCGAGAGGCGGCGGAGCTCCGACGAGCGGGGTGTGTATCTGTGTATGTATATATGTGTGTAATGTGTGTGTGCAGGGAAGGTGTGTTGTGTGTGAGATAGAACCGTGTGTGTGTGTGTGTGAGAGACCGAGAGATAGAGACAGAAAGAGAGGGAGAGAGGGGGTAGGTGACGGGTCTGTGGCTGGTTAAATTGGGAAGGGAAAAATGGTTTAATTTGTGTGGGACCCATTAATGTGGTGGAAATTAATTTGTTTTATGAGTAAATGTCTATATTACCCTTAATGAACATATAATTTTGACTTTTTTTTAACCATTAGATCATCCGATCTAATAGTTATGATTTATTCTCA